CCTACATTCCCTCCTTAGGGTGGTCAAGAACCCGTTGAAGCCCTGCAGGCGGGGGAACTGGCGCCCAACGTGGGGCAAACTAACAGGATGTTTGTATAGGATGTTTACAGGGTGAGAGGGTCAAGGGCTCTGACACAATGTCCTGTTGCTAGGCAACCTGACTGTAAGATGATCTAGTTCCCTGTCTTATTGGGGTTCTGTATTTTTCCACTAATTAGAGATTCTGTCCTTGTCCCTGACAGAGAAAAATGCCTAAACAAAGCAAAATGAAATAAAAAGTTCACAAAAATATCATTGAGTTCTTTTTGTGTTGGGCAACTACTCTTGGACATGGGGTCTATCCTGGAATGTGATTGATATATGCAGTGAGACTCCATGGGAGTCTTTAGCAATGGTTATCAGTTGCAGAGTGCCTCATGATTAGTCATGGGATCCTGTGTAAATTCCCCTTCTCAGTGCCAGGACCCCATCTGGCCTGAACCTTTGTAGGACATATTTTGTTTCTGTGAGTTCATATGTGAATCAGTCCTCTTGTGTGGTAAAGACACCCATCATCTCTGGCTCTTACAGCCTTTCTGATTCCCCTTCTACATAGATTCCTGAGCCTTGAGCAGAGGGGTTTGAGGAAGACATCTCATTGAGGACTGAGTGCTCCAAATTCTTTTATTTTTTGCACAACATCCAGTATTGATTCCCATCTACTGAATCTAAAAGCTTCTCTGACATGGGTTGAGCAAGGCATTGATCTGTGTGTATAGCAACACGCCATTAGGCATCATTGTATTGTTATGCTACTTCAGCAGTTTTCTTCATTGGAGTCTCACTAGGCATATGAAGCATATTCCAGGATAGGCCTCAAGCTTGGGGGTAGAAGTCCAACACAAAGAAACTCAGTGGTATTATTTTGGACATTTTGTTTCTTTTCTGCTTTGTTTAGGAATTTTTTTTTTTGTGTGTGTGTGTGTGTGTGTGTGTGTGTGTGTGTGTGTGTGTGTTTGCTTGTTTGTTTTGTTTTTGATTTTGTGTTTTTGCATGAGGTGGATTATTTTTCTTGGTTTTTTGGTTGCTTGTTTAGTTTTTGTTTCTTGTTTTTTGTTTGTTTGTTTATTTGAGAGAGAGGAAGAGAGAGAGAAAGAATTTAAGGTTGGGTGAGTAGAAATGTAGAGAGGATTTGGGAAGAATTGGAGGAAGGTAAAACATGATCAAAATATATTATATGAAAAAAATTTCAATAAAAATGTCCTAAAAACTACTTTTTTTATACAGCATGTCTTGCATCTTGACCCATTGTTATAGAGGTTAAGCATGTGTTTCTGGGTTCCTAGAACTACTGATCATAACTCTCCAGGCTTGTATTCAGGTGTGAAGACCCCAACAAGCAGAAATCACAGACCACCAAGTCTAACCTTTGGGGGTGCCAACTGTGACACCATCCCCATAAAACTGCTGGCCATTTATCTATTAGTGAATTTCCTTCAGTAGCCCTGCCATATGGCATTTTTTCTTGGCTATCATGTATTATGGTGAATGAGGACTTTCTGTAGTAGCCTCAACAATTCTAATTAAGGATTTTCTGCAGTGGTTTGACTGGTGTTGCGGGATATTTGATCACAATGTGTGAAAGGCACCTTGTGATTGGTTTAATAAAAAGCTTTTATAATTGGACACCTTGTGATTGGTTTAATAAAAAGCTTTTATAATTAATAATAAACCTCCATGTCATTATTTGTGGGATGGCAGCCACATGAAAGAGACTGATTACACCCTGTGGCAGTATTTTGCATGTGTTATATAGCAACTCTTTCATATGTAGTTACTTAATCAGTAACAAGGATTCATGAGGCCAAATTAAGAAATGGAAAACAAAATGGACATACTAACAAAAATGATTTCCTTTTCATGGAAACTTTTGCCATGTTTGCCTAGACATCTTAACTCCCGAGGAAAAAATGTTTTCTACAGTCCAGCAGTTCTCAACCTGTGGGTAATGACCCCTTAGGGTAATAGACCCTTTCACAAGGGTTGTATATCAGGTATCATGCATATCAGATATTTACATTATGATTCAGAACAGTAGTAAAATTACAGTTATCAAGTAGTAACAAAAATAATTTTATGGTTGCAGGGGGGTCACCACACCATGAGGAACTGTACTGAAGTGTCACAGCATTAGGAAGGTTGAGAATCACTGCTTTAGACAGTAAAATGATTCAACTTATCTGGTCCCTTATGTCTTATTTTTCTTCTGAACCACATATAAGGAAAGGAGGGATTGTGTTGACTAGAGTGCTTACTCCTCTTCTAAAGGTAATATGAATATTTTTTCACAGGAAAGATGTTACTAAGAGATTATTTTTGGTTCAAGATATCCCTTAGAGTGTTTCATAATATTGCCATAGTTTAAATACCAATAAAAAATCTGAACTACATAATGCAAGCTTTTCAAGTGTTTATGCATTTCACGTCAAAAATAAAGGTTTAGCAAAAGTCCATTTTTATAATTTACTATTTTAAAATGTTTTATTGCATTGGCGTTTTTTCTGAACATATATCTGTGTGAATCTCCTGGAGCTGAAGTTACAGACAGTTCTGAGCTGCCATGTCGGTGCTGGGAATTGAACCCAGGTCCTCTGGAAGAGCAGCCAGTCCTCTTAAGCACTGAGCTTTCTCTCCAACTCCAGGAAAAATGCATTTTAACATTATTCTTATTTCTCAATTGAAATAATTATATATATTAATAATTAATAATATTAATAATTATAATATTAATAATAATATATTATATATTATATATTATATATTATATTATATAATATTATATATTATATATATAATATATATAATATATATATTATATATATATGACAAAAGATTTGTATCTGAGGATGAGTGGTTTCTGTGAGTGATAGGCATAAAACAATGAAACTGAGCCTGTGAAAAATTAGAATACCGAAATCTATACAATTAATACATACAAGACAATGATACAGAGGACATATGAGTTTCTGAATGGGTCCCAACCTCTAGTTCTATATACATCCAAAGTAGAGTAAGTGCTATCAGATTACAAAGACTGTTTGTATGCTTAAATTTTAATGTTTGCCATCTCAAGTGAAGGAAAATCAGATGCATAGATCTTAGTAGCAGGAGAAATAGATTCTAGTTGGTTGTATTATCAGTATTGGCTTTCTGTTATAGCAATGAATGAATAAGCAAAAATTGCAGTAATTGTCAGAAAACCATCAATACAATGTAAACATTATACATAAGTAGAAATAAATAAACTACACACGTAATAAAATTGGTTCTCTTGGAAGAAAGTATAACTTTCCCTTTATCTCCTTGATTTTGGAGCATCTCTCAAGGGAACAGAGAGTGGTCAGATATTGTACTGCAGTCCTGTGAGCAAGGCAGATTTTTTGGAAATAGAGAATAATGAGAATTGCTTTAAATATGTATTAGTTTTGTGCTTTAATAAAAAACATAGCCATTTTCTAGTATTTTGTTGTAGTTTATTCAAGAACTCAAACCTTGTGATAAGAATATTGTACTTTACTTTAAATAACTAATGCTTTCTCTTTTTAAAGCATTTTTTTTTCATTTTTTTGAATACAGATACTTTTCTATGGAAACCACTGGCAAAATTGTTTCACTCTGTCCTCCAGACCTTAAACAAAGACAGTTCTTTCCTTATATCCACTGTAACAGTAAGTATGGATAGGCATGGAAGCATGGACCTAATTGAAAGCCTTTCTGGGTTCGGGGTTCTCCTCTGACAGATCCGCACTTCCATCTATTTTGCATACACACAAACCCATTAAAATCCATTAAATCCTATAGACATTGGCTCTTCCTTGGCAGCCCACATTCAGATCCATTCTCTGTTGCCAAGAGCTTCACTTTCTCTTAGTAAATCTGCCTTGCTTCACTTAACTCTTTGTTGTCTGTGTACCTCATCCTTCTTGGTCATAAGATGAGAACCTTGTGGAGAAGAATGTCTTTAATGTAATCAGCTTGTGATCATACTGACATGTTTACTCCAACTCTTCTCTTCTCTGCATTATTGTTCTGCATATTTGTTCTCTACTAGAAAAGTTATGTTCAAGTCAACTGATTGATTATTGAGTCTTCCAAAAATATAGGCCTCTGGTTTGCATCCTATTTTTCTAGTTGTAGGCTTAGCAGGAAATAACCTTTATATTCATAAAATACTTTGACACTGAAGCAACTATAATCAGTTTTCATTGGCCAAATCTTAAGGTTGTTTAAAGATATGTTTGTTTTTTGATTAAATATATGTGTTCAAGCTTCTTTATTTATGCTTGAAAAGGAATTTGAGTATGTAGTCACCATGTTTATAGTTTTAGGAAGAAAGTTTCAGCTGGAGATATGGCTTCAAAGGTACATACTGCTCTTTAGGGGTAACAAGTTCAGAACTCCACTCCCACATCTGGTGGCTTACTACTTTCTGCAACTCTAGCTCCATGGGATCCAACATCCTCTTAAAGTCTATGGGCACCACAGTTGTGCACAAACTCGAAAGTAGACATACATACATTTGCACACATAATCTTCAAAAGAAAAAGAACCATAAAGAACTCCATGACCTAACTTCTCAGACCCTGTGCAATCCCTCAAATGCTGACCTCTTACGTCACTGGCATACGGAACAGCCTATATTCTTACATGACTACATTCTCAATCTCTAGTGGAACAGCATCACTTTGGCCTGCATGGAGCTGTCTGGTCCTCAAGGGACTTTCACGTTTCCACTCCCTCAGTCTTTGGAATAAGGAGGGAGCAACACAGATGTGGGTTCTTGTACTTCAAGCTTATATAAGCCACATTTGCTGAGACCTGGAAATGAAGCCTCTGAAAAGCAAGATCGGGGGGAAAAGATTGCTCCGTTTATGGATGGCGGTCCTCTGAATTTACAGTTTTATTTTTCTTCTTATGGGGATTAACACTTTAAAAAATATTATTATTGAAAACTTTTTTGGTTTTTGAAATTAAAACAATCATTATCTTGTGTTATCCCTTTCCTTCCTCTAACCTTCCTGAGCATCCCAGTTGCTCTCTTTTATATTCCTGAAAGCCTAATACTGTAAAGGATCGCCACAAGCCCTTTGGTGTGTGGGTAAGACAGAAATGATTACTATATTCTAAATTCTTATATAAAGTAAAAATATTGTATATATGTATCAATGAGAGTAAATTGATATCCAAAGAACTAGGTTAAAAAATGAGAAAATAATGACTTGATCCTGTTTTCTTTCTTTGTTAAATTCTGAGTAAAATCAATGCTGTGAGAGTGACTGGTTTACTGAAGTGACATGTCTATTATCTTACAGATCTAATCATAATGACCTTATCTGATGAGGTACAATTGTAAAAGAAAAAAAAACAAATTTAAGAACAGGATTAAATAATCAAGCCCTGACTCTTACATCAGAAATATTCAAAATTGTTTTGATAAATGACCCATTGCTTTAGTCAATCATGTATTCTGATTAAATTTGTTGTTCTTAATTAAAGATTAGCTTGATATTTTTACTTCACATGACAATATTTTGATATATGTATATACACAAGATACATAAATATTACACACACACACACACACACACACACACACACACACACACACACACACACACATCTCAGGAAATACTAGGAAATGTTTGGCTGTTCTTTCCAGAACTTAAGACTTAACAAGAACCCACCCATGAAATGAAGTTGATTAATGTCATATGTTCAGTGCTTGAAATTGTGTAGAGGGGAACAGCACTCCAAATGAAACATTTTGACAGTGGGATTATGGCTGATGGTCATTTATATTACTTTTATCATGTTTCTGTTGATGAAGACACTTTTGAAACAAGCACACTTTAAGATCAAATGTATTTCAACCATTGTCACAAAGTCATAATTAAATTTAAAAATTTTTGCACAAATGTGAAATTTACCTCATGATCTATGATGTATAGTATATGTATGAACAATGGTATACCTACAAAGTTAAGGAATTTCACATCCCATTGTCTGTTCTTCACTTTTTATTAGTTGTGGTACAGTTTGAAATGTATGCTTTTCACAAATCCAGTGTCGTGCATTATCAAAATTAGTGTTCATGCTGCCTTCATATCCCAGGATAAATAATCTTAAGTATGGAAAGGACAGCCAGCCGATATTACATATTTAAGAACAAAATGGTTTATAAAGCAAACTTTTAAATCAGTGCTTTCTCTTTTACTCAGAAAATCATGAAAAAACTCTAACTAATAAGGGAGATTAACTTGACTGACAATTTTGATGAACGTTAGGGTTAAGATAAACATGTACACCCCACATCCAATGCCTTTCTTTTTGCACATATTCAGTTTATCCTACACATTACATTTTGTTCCTTTGACCTTTCAGCACTCATTCACATATCCCTGTTCTTCCCTGACTATTTTATTCCTTTCTCTTGCTTTTTTTCAACTCATTGCAAATTGCCTTCCAAATTTTCCTGTCCCACTTATCAATTCCCTTATCTCTCCTCTGCAACACTTATTAACACAGTCTGCAGTAAAAAGTTATATTAACTTGAGGCAGAATGTAAATTCTTATTGCTCCCAACATTAGAGTACCTTCCTCCATCCCCTATGTGCTCATGCTATTTGTTCTCTGACGGACTTGAATTCTATCATGTGAAAGTTGTTCCCATCAAAGTTTCAAAAATTTTCTTAATTCTTTGCACTCAAATAGTTACATTAATCTCCTGTCCTACTAGAGCATTAATTTTGGTGTTTGTCACCAATCTTTAATTTTTAAATATTTATTTATTTATTGAGGCCCTGTCTATTCTTATAACCACAAATGTCAGATTTTGAGCTTCCAGGCTACTGGCATGATTTTTATGTTCAATATTTTTTTCTAGAATCTCTTTGATTTCTTTTCCTTAATCCATGATATAAGGTTAGTATAGTGAACAATTTAATTAATTAGAAACAGTGTTGAGGAATGAGATTGAAAATGAATAGAAACAGAAAAGCAAGGCAGCCTAATAGTAGCCCAAACCATGTCCCAAAACTCTTTAAATAAGAGCTTTTGCCACTACTGCTGACTCTAGATACCCCATGTCAGTCAGACAATGCCATTGGTGTGGTGCCACATGCATTTGCTGGAGTCTTAATAAGGTTGCCTTGTTTTCACTCAAGATTTTTGTAGCTAAAGTTTTCCCCGGTCCCGCCCAGCCCCACGGACCCTGCAGCTGCTTATAAAATAATCACTCAGAAGCTTATATTAATTAAAACTGCTTGCCCATTAGCTCAGGCTTTCCACTGACTAGCTCTTACATTTAAACTCAGCCCATTTCTGTTAATCTATATGTTGCCACGTGTTCCGTGACTTTACCTGTCTCTGCCCTTTGTCTCACTAAGTATTTGAAAGTATGTGTATGTGTTTGTGGTTTGAGTGGAAAAACATTCATCAAATCTCCTCATTCTCTTTCTACGTAAGAGAAGCACAAATGTTTGTAATCTTTCGGACTTCTTGAATGAATGGAAGCCCCTGATTAGCAAATATTCATGATTTAGAAAGTTGCCGGGCGTTGGTGGCGCACGCCTTTAATCCCAGCACTCGGGAGGCAGAGCCAGGCGGATCTCTGTGAGTTCGAGGCCAGCCTGGGCTACCAAGT